TAAGATGCTAAATATGGTAACCAGCAACGATCAGCGTTTTTGAAAAACTGCGCAAAGGGTCAATCAGCTCATGCTGTCAATAACCCTATCCCCTATTAGCACATGTGCGATTTCAACTGCTGCCGTTATTCGGGTAACGTAAATTGTCAAAATCATGTTTGGTACACGGCCCGCTGCTTCCATATTGTCACTAAGAATGAACCTATAGTCTGAGACAACAAAATGGTTGGAACTGCGAAACCGCCGTAAACCCTTCTATTGCACTAGCTGTAGCAGCAATCAAATTTATGGGTGGAATTAAATGTGAACCGCGTGACACATGAAAACCTTAAGCGTCCTAAGGCAACGTAAACAAATAAAAAGCAAACCGTGAACAGAAGCCATGAAAAGTAATAAAACTGCGCACCTTTACCAAATCACCATTTGCCAAGCCTCTTGTTACAGCTTCAAGACTCATATATGGCATGAAATATGGTTTCCTCGTTTTCTGGTTACTGGTCACTCCAACCGGCTGACTTGAATTTTGATACATCGACATGCTAGTACTGCGAGCACTTAATAGTTATCAAGCTTTTGAGGATATAAGATATTATAAGGCTTACGCAGAGCGTGATGGATAATTATTTGGTGGTCTGTAATTCGCAGATCCAGTTGATACCGTCCTTCTTGGAGGCGTAGCACCATGATAATTCAATCCACCTTGCGCATTCTTGAAGAGTGGTGCATGGTCTGTATCAGGAGATATTATTGAAACTATAAACAACACTGTATGCACAAAATCTTACTGTATTGATTGTGGTGAAGATGTGACGATGGTGGCGGTGGTCGTTGACTTGCAGAGGACATATTTCGATCGAGTGGGAACATTGGAGAGAAGTTCACCCACGGCAGTAAAAAGTCTGGAGACAATGCTCCTCGGCCACATTGTCGATTGTCACGGCAGTAGGTTCCATCACCACCTAAAAAGTCAATGTTCACACTGACAAATTGCTTACATAGGTGATACTGGAGTGATCAAGATTGATAACTTCGAACGTGGCAACGATTTCTCAGTGTTAAGAAGAAGAGGTCAAAAATAGGCAAACCTCAATGAGATATCCAAACTATTTAAACATCTGTCTAAACTCAAAATCCCTTTTCGTTGCGTTTCAATAGATACTCTCTATCTCGACTATTAGGTTGGACCAAAAGTTCTCGGTCATTTTCAGAGTAGATCTGCTATTTCTCGAAACTTAATGC